TCCGTAATATAGAGGTTTCGTATTAAGCAAGTGTCCGTAATATAGACGTTTCGTATTAAGCAAGTGTCCGTTCCGTGAAATAGAGGTTTTGTATTTAGCAAGTGTCCGTAATATAGAGGTTTCGTATCATAGAGATGTGATATAGGTCGTCATAGACCTATCATTAAAGAAACTTTATTCAACTCACCAAACCGATTGTCTTAAAAGGTGAATTGGATTCCATTAACTGCTCATTCAAATCCTGAAAACAAATACCTCTGATAAATCTATAATTCATCAATTTACATGTGCTCAAGTTGTTAGTGTTTCACGGGTTTAGTACCACGAATCTCATGTATCTTATACGATGTAGTTTAAGGAAAACTCACCCCAAATTCACCAAGAGACATAATGATTAACCCAAGACCTGACGAAAACCATCGCGAAAACATGTGATCCTTAACTGAAGAATCGATGTAACCAAGAGATACCAAGAACATTGCTAGTGTCAAATCAAAGTCAATGAGAGTTAATATTCTGCCAAGGGCAATTTTTTTTTACCATGGAATGAGTTAATGAGGAGKGGTAGTTTGCCTTATTTTTTGAGGTGAAACGTGGATGTTTGGCTTATATTGGGAGGAAGGGAAGGAGAGGATATAGTTTTATTAGCTGGAGATAGTTGAGGGGAATTTTTTAACATTAGAAATCTCGGGAGGGGGGCAAGGAGGGAAAATTTTTTAACACAGGAAAAGTGGAAGGGGAGGATAGCAGGGGCGGATCTAGGATTTTCCTCAGGGAGGGGTGCAGGGCTCTCAGGAAGGGGTGCACCCCACAAAAAATCATTAAATGAACTTATACAAAGTAAGGAAAGTATTGAAGGATACAGATCTCAGGGGGGGGTGCGCACCCCCTCCACCGGAACGTTTAGTTTAACGGGGGGAGGTAGTTTACCTTGAGAGAAACCAATCACAAACACCATGTAGATAATGAAGAAAATAATAAAATCTTTTTTCAGCATTTGGTAGATCATTACCACATATGGTCCAGTGAGTGCAAACCCCCTAAAATATATCACAAGAACACTCTGAATAATAAATCTACTGTCAATTTTATACAACAACTTCACAAAGAAGGGAAACATTCAAAATATACAAATTTCTGACAGCTCTTCAAGATGTTATTATTGACAATCTTGAAAATTTTAGCATAAAATAGCCCTTAGCAAGCCTGTAAGGTCTATACATTCTGTTATTTTGCAGCATGTTATACAATTTTATTCAGTAGAAAGACTATGAGGTGTTATTTCTTAATAAACTATCTATCAATTCTTACTTGCAAAACATCAGAGCATAAGGCCAAGCAAGCATCAAAGATGTTATTGTCAAATAATCTTCCAWGGTYGGCAAACATAAAAATCTTGAAATCAAACATACAGGAACRAGAGCACAAGACARTGCAAACAAACCCCGGATWGGATTATAAACCTGAAAAACATAAGCAATACAATTAGATTTGTTTCTATAGCCTACTCTGCAAGGCAACTGTCTATTACTTCATAAAATGTTGGGTTKCCTGTGGAAAATGAGAGAAACGTTTCCCTAGTGAACTCCAACAGGGAACCAGGTTTTTTTCTCAACAGAGAGAAGAGATTGAATCAGAGATGGCTATATAAAAGAGAGGTCCATTAAAAGCACCTAAAAACTGTACGTACCAGCCCTAAGCCAACAGTTCTAAACCCTTGAGAGACCATCTCCACTACAATRAATATAAGAAATGAGATAGCCCACAGATTGGCCAGTACTTCAAATACCCCACGGGCCTAAGAAAAGAAATGAARGATAAATTCTGTAAGTATCATTAAAGAAAATGCTAGAATTTTGTCTTGATATTTTACCGTTTGCGATGGAGATTCATAAACTGCATTTCTAAGGTAACAGGAATCGCACTGTTTGGTTGTTGTAACATTATCCGCAACAGAAGCATTYGATACTTGTATTTGATCTTCACAGGGTAATTGCTGGAATAAATCATGTTGTATTAGTGAGACTGACCTGCATACCCTGTGCATCTAGAGTTAGTTATGATACCATTTTCTAACAATGAATACCAGACAAGATCAGACTTAATACAAGCACAAGATCAGAGGACATAGACATGAACACCTATTTAAAAATGAGATATTTTTCATGTGCTTACCATGGGAGGTCGCAATGCCAGAGCAATACCAATGATGACCAGGTATATCAGGTAAAGAAAAAACAACTGAAAAAATCTACCATAGAAAGATATGGTTGGTTTATGAACGCAATTACCAGTACATGATTTGTTTTCAATGTTGGTTTGTGATATGGATGTGCTGAGTCCAAGTTTGGTCAATTTTAATTGATGATTAAAATCATACATCCCACCAACCAATCATCCCTTCATGCAATCGATAATTTTATCAATCAATCAATCAATCAATCAATCAACCAGTCAATCAATCAATCAATCAATCAATCAACCAGTCAATCAATATATCAATCAAAGTCAATCAATCAATCAAGCAATCTCACAATCAATCCACAATTTTATAAATCAATCAATCAATCATCTAATCGATGATTTATTCAATCTGTCAATCACTTATCTAATTTATCAAATCAATCATTGAATCAATCAATGAACTTTAAGTATGAAACAACTTTGTCTTTATTACCTGAATCGACAGCCTTTTTTCCACTTATGATTTAAAATATTGTGAATAATTCCATCTAATAGTTCTAAATGCATTGGTGAATCCTGTCAAAATAATAACATTATATGTCAAGCACAATGATCCCAATCTTTCATATTTAGAACATCATTATAATAACAAAGGACTCTACCTCATGGACAATGATATTCAGAGCTGATGTCTCTAAGACATTTCCCTCTTTATCAGTCTGTCAAAAGAAATCATAATTCCGTATTAATTACAAAATTGTCTACAGCTGGTTCCACGTTGTGCAATATTTCATTGATAAATGCATATTTTCAAGGGAATACAACTAATTATTACACCAGTAATCAATTATCAAATTCCATATCCTTTACCACTTAATACGACAATGATGGTATGAACAGTAATAGCGTAAACAATGCTGCAAAGAAAAACAGTTTTACTTGGAATAATGTGATACTTACAGTGTCCAAGTCATGTAAGGGAAATGCAGCACAAGAAACTCCACCATATTCCCAAAATACCTCTGAAGTCCTATTTACCATATGTTGAAAGATCTACAAAAAAAATCATAATTAAATCTCATGAATGAATAAATAAATATTGAAATAATTACTTTTTAGCTGGAACTACTGAGTCTTAAATACATCTAAATTCTCAAGAAAACTTACGACTGTTTGGGCTGGTTAGGAAGATATTTGGTTATTATTGTTAACTAAAGGTCTGATAAAAATAGTGAAGTTGCCCTTTATAGGTCTGATATCCTCCTTTCATACCCACCATTGCACACAATCATTTTTGGTATCTCAAACTCTAACTACATAATGAAYTTAATTTTATTCTTTCTTACCTCCTTGTTAGCCAACTTGGCTGCTAGTGCTAATGGTGTTAAWCCTCTTGCATTCTTAACATCTACTTTGATTTCTGAACAGCAAGTGCAATAGCATCCATAGTCTAAGAGAAGGTCATACATATCCTACAAAACACATGAAAACCATATAATATTATATAACATTGAACACATAAAAATGTAATAATTAGGCTGAGTAATAATGGGCAGAGCTTGTCTGTATTTTTTTTATGATATGATTAGAGCAGAAATAGTTGCATCATGACCTCTTTGTTTTGAAGTTTGTCTGGATTTTGTTCTTTCTTTCAATCTGAGGGGCGGAGCTTTTCGAAAACTTGCTTAATCATTGGCTGATTAGTATCAAGCTCCGCCCCCAAGTCTCAGAAAAAACTAAATCCAAACTATTTCCTTTGAACATTGAAGTTACGATGCAATGGTTTCTGCTGTAATATTGATATAATATTATTGAATATTAATTTAAATTGTATGAGGAAGTAGCTGATCCCATTAAAGAGTGCTCAATACACATAAAGTGTAGAGCTAGTTATATATATGATATCAAAGAGGCAAGATTTTGCTGTAACTCCGAATATTAATTTATATAATTTGTTACCGGCCTATCATGAATCACCACCATATGGAGCACTGTGTTGCCATTAGTGTCTCGTTTATTAGGACAAGCCTTTCTGCTTAACAGGTACATRACAGTGTCTTTCTGGCCAAGACAAGCAGCAAATGACAGTGGATATTCTCCCCAGTATGTATTGCTGTAGAAGATTAAATGATATTAAGCAAAAACATAATATCTTTTAAACAAAATCTGCTTTTAGCAATCAAATATTTGTGAGTACCTTTGGTAGTTTGTTTCGCTATTTAAGTTAATAGTCTCCAAGTTCTCATTATCTTCTCTGTCATCCTTCTGGTCTTCTGGACAAAAGAAAGCTCCATACGCCCTTTCATGAATATTGATACCATTCTTACACAGAAAGTGAACCATCTCTAGGTTTTCATTGACTATTGCCATGTGCAGACAGTTTTCACCTTAAAGATATAAAAAATTGTTGATATGACTCACTTTTATTGAAGTTATGTAGGCTTATCTAAAGAGTTCTGGGAATGGTTGTGTAAAGTTTGGATAATGTGCATGTACATATAAGGATTTATCTAGTAGATTGTGGATGGTACTATTTAACCTTTGTATAACCAGCCCCTGATGTGATTGCCTTTGCTCTTGCAAGATGTATTACAAAAACATGTGAAAAGACATATTTTGCGTGTCTCTGTCCTCTGATATAAACACGGTGGGAGTCCAAAACCACTCAAGAAGAAAGAAAAAATACTCTCGTCACAAGAAGTTTTTCGAGCGAAAAGCAAATTTTGCTGATAAGCCGCATCTCTGTCCTCTGATATAAACACGGTGGGAGTCCAAAAGCACTCGAGAAGCAAGAGAAACACTCAAGTCACAAGTCGAGTGAAAAGCAAATGCTGCCGGTAAGCCGTATCTCTGTGCTCTGATATCGTCAGCCAATCAGAGTGTGCGTTACATATCAAAAATTTTATAATATTTGATATAGTCACTATATAGCCATTAAAATCTGAAGAAAGTTCTAGTTACACAAGATTATTATTGGTAAAGAGGTTATCAATACATACCATAATATTCATCATTGAGATAGATATCGTTAACCATACATGGGTAAATTGATAGCAGTCTTTTAGCCAAATCATAATTAGATTTGGTAGCATTAAGAAAGCATARCAGCAATAGAGACTCGCCCACAGCTCCACGGCTGTCAATATCCCAGCAAACTTGACGATATGCACATTCATTAGCTACGTCATAATCTGTAAGTCAGAAATATAGGTGGSTTATATAAAACATTTACAGTGAACACCTTTGCATCATAACAAAATATCTACTTCACACATCAACTTGGACTTTGAATCAAAACACAAACAACCATTGAAGATGGATGGATGATTTTTTGTGATTGACAGCTCAATCCAGCCTTTACGCATTTTTAGGCAGTGCTCTTGAGCTCACACACATTCTTGCGTGTGAATACCTTTACTTTGCTCATGTATAAACAATGTATGAACAATTTGTATAAACAATGTCTTWACAATGAGTGGAAGGTCACAGAGTTCCTGTGATATGTGATAGAAAGGTCTAGCTGTATAAAAAATATTGATTATCCACTATAATTGAAAAGTATAATATCTTACCWATCGAATCCAAACTAAAGCTTTTATTAATCAATTCAATTTCACTATTAGCCAAGAAAGTTTTCTTGGGTTTTGAGAACTTTCCAAGGAAGGAACTTCTGGATTTCGTGCTAGTTTGCCTCGATTCTTTTCTCTTCTGTACAAGATCGTCTATAGCTACCATCTTTCCATTGCCATTGTTGTAAAGAAATCTTTTAAGCTCGTTCCGAATAATTCCATCGACTTCGTCGTAATCTTTAGTGGCCTGCGATTTTCTGAAGGCTTTCATTAGGGAACCATCACTTTTGAGATCAAGATACTGGTATAAAGGGTGCGAGCTTTCTTCTGTTTGTTCAATAACATCTTTACCAGCTCCTTTGATCTCGTTTGAGCTATAGTTACCCATCTCTGCCAAGAAAAAGCGAACAAATGTCGACAATCTGGCAGAAGAATCGTGCTCTCCACTGCGGCACACCGCATGAAATCTTGTTGTTGTCATGGAAGTTCGCTCGGGGAGAATGGGCCGAGACCACAGGAAGCCCACCAAGCTCGATATTTGAGTTTCTTTCATATTTTATTTTTTCGCAGTGCTTTATATAAAAGATACCAAAAAATATTCTAAGGTACTTTACAAAACACAAGYTAAACCATAAAAAGTATGAATGTCTGGAAATTGATGATATTTTTTCACCTTTTGAGCGCGCATTTCAAATATAATGACTATCACGCGAATTTGACGTCACAATTGATCATTGAGATGCTGAAGCCGGCAAGAAAAGCTTTTCACGTTGTTGAAGCATAGTTTTTCTATTCGCAAAAAARTGAATAACACGATACAAAATGTCAAATTCAACAAGAATCTCAATTAGACTTAGGCCTTATCGTTTGATGGCGAAGGAAGAGGGGCGATGGAAGAGAAGTGAATTCCTTGATAGCGAACTTCAGGTTAGATTTACCGAGTACTGGAAATCTTTCTATCTCACGAAATTTAGATGGCACGACTCAAAGTCCGATTAAACAACAGCGTGCTTAGTATAGTAAAATCTGATAATGGGAACGAATTCTAGCGATAGACTACTACGTTTTGGGTTGTCAACAAATTACCGACAGAGARGAGAAGAAATCAAGGTATTTGATTTGAACTATATGAAAACAATTGCTGGACTAAAAAACAGGCAGATAACCTAACAAAACTTAATAACATACGATAAAAAAACGTAATTGTGATAGATAAGCTATCTGGATTCGAATATTTTCCGCTGTAACAATACAAACTCGCCTACGCCTCGTGCTACTCTTGGGGCACTGAATGTTCTTAGCATCTATCATTGTGTTTATAACCTGTGACTTAGGTGTGTTGTATGTCTCATTCATTGTTTGTGCGAATATTATTCGTCTTACCAATGYATTGTGTGCTTAGAGCAATTGTGTGACTGCATGCAAGTAACATCCAGATGTAACGTAGATGATCACATCTCTTCGGAATAGAACTTTTCTCAGGTTGTTTATATTAATTCATTCCGTGAAACTGAGACGGCCCACTCACTGTCTCAGCCTCGCCCAAAACAACCACACTATGAGACAAAGGGATTGTATTCGAAAAAAGAGGAACGTAACTGAACCTAAAACAATTTTATTATTGTTCAATAACCACATTCATCCGAATTCAAATCCTTTTTGCCCGGCCATAAAGGAATTGAGGAGTTAATGACATCAACTCGCAGTAAATCGTGTGCGCATTTCAAAGAATGATTGGTCAACATCGATATATTTAATTCGTTAGTGATAGTTTTCTGCTAGCAAAGGCATACACAGTCGGATTGTATATTCCAGCAGGGTCGAGTGTGGAAGCCTTTTCTAACAAGGAACAACTG